CCAAATCATTTTTTTGATTCGCGATTTTGTCCTAGTTAATCATTTTCAACCTCGACTCGGTCCTGATCATTTTATCTTTAGACTCACAATTTCGTCTTGATCTTTTGATCTCGACTCCATCCAAATCATTTTTTTGATTTGTGATTTCATCTTGATCAGTCATCTTCGACCTCAACTCGGTCCTAATCGCTTTATCTTTAAACTTGTGGTTTTATCTCGGTCATTCGATTTTGGCTTCGTTCAGATCATTTGCTTGATTCATGGTTTTATCTCAATCAGTTATTTTCGATCTCAACTCGATCTTAGTCGCTTTATCTTTAGACTCATGATTTTATCTCGATCATTCGATCTTGGCTCAGTTCAGATTATTTTTCAACTCGTAGCTCAGTCTTGATCATTTTTGCTTATTGAATTAACTCTTGAAATAAAGTAGGTGTCTAGGTCTTTGTATCATCCTTATTTGATAGAAATGTACAAAAATGGACAGCTGTAGACACCCATCTATATCCGAGGTCAATTGGGTCAATTTTATTTTTACTATTTCTATTATTATTACTAGTATTATAGTATAATATATCATTATTATTATATTATTATTATGGTACTATATTATAGTATAATATATTATATTACTATAGTTTATAGTTATAATAATAATAATAATAATATTATTATTATTATTATTTTATGTTCTTTTTTTTTTCCTTTCTTGTTTCGAATCCGGCGTGAATTTAGGAAATTGAAGTCTGATAAAAGGGATTCAACTTAGTCAAAGGATTTATTGCATAATCGAGGTTACAAATTCAACCCACAAAATCAACAAGGAACTTAGACTTAATTTAGGGTTCGGGCAGAATTCAATCTGAGGATTCAAACCAGTGATTGATTATGATCATGGGATTAGATTTTATCCGTTTTTTAAATTTGTTTTAAGACTGCCTATAAATTGCACTAACATCACAAAAAACACACACAAGGAATGGATTTGGGAAACAGCTGATTTTTTGGGAGAATTGGTGTTCTGGAAAATTTTTGGGTAATCGGGGCTTCTTGGACTTTAATTTTGGAAATTCTAGGTTCAATGGAAAATTTTAGGTTTAGATTAAGGTTTCTGGGCTTAAATTTAGTTTTCTAGGAATTTTTGAAGAAATTTGGGCAAATTTTGTGGAATCAAAAAAAATTTAGGATTTTTGGGCTTTTTTTAAAGAAATCTAGGTTTTTGGGAAGAACATGAATTTTTTGATGAATTTTTCAACGACTAGTTGAATTTTTCGATTACATTCTAACCAGTTTTTCAAAAATCGATGGGTTTTCTAATTTCTAATTGAATTTTCTAGTGACTTTTCTTGAAACCAGTGAGATTTTTAGTTTTCGATTAAATTTTCTGATGGGTTTCTTGGAAATTCTAGAGAGAAGTTAGAGTTTGTCAATCTAAAGAGAGAGTGAGAGGGTTTTGAGAAAAAACGTTGGGACTTGGCTTATATGCTAACCTCAAAATGGTGTCATTTTAGCAACATAGGATTTATACCTTAACTTGTCAACCCACGCGTTGACCTGCACTCTAACCCGACTTGATCATAGGTTTTTTTTTTCATTTTTATTTTATTTTTGATTTGATTTTTATTTTAAAAAATCTTTTCAAAAAATAAAAAAATAAAAAAAACTTTTTCAAATAAGTTTAATAAAAATAATAATACAAAAAATCTTTTTCAAATAAAATCCTTACATAATAAATTCATGAATTCTACCAAACTATTTGAGAATTTCTATGGATTTAATTTTTAAAATAAAATCCACCAAACTATTGAGAAATTCCATGAATAATTTTTTTATAATAAAAATAAATAAATAATAAACAAAAATAATAATTTTTATTTTCTAAACTATTAGATGATTGCTTCAAATTAAATTCTATCAAACTATTAGGAGACTTAATGAAATTCTCAAAATTTTTTACAAATATTTTTATAACAAAGTCTTACCAAAATATTAAGACGTCTACTTAAAAGTAAGTCCTATCAAACTATTAGGAGACTTTACTAATTTTTTTTAGATAAAATAAATTAATAAATCTGATGACGGAGCCTCTGTAAAGTGGACCCTAGTCTCCATGAATATTCATGAAGTGAGAGAATTATCTTGAATTGCTACCAAGCTATTGGGACAATTTTAAGACTAATTTTTAATATTTAATATTTTGATAAAAGCATAAACATTTTTAAAAGCTTGGGTAATTTAGAATCAAACTAGTACCATCTTTGGGATGAACGTTGTAAGGGTGCTATAATCTTTCTCACATGTAATCGCACTTTCGAATCTAAAATCTGGTTTTATAGATCAAATTCAATCAGGTGACCAATCACACCTAAATAAAAAATATTTGTGGTGACTTTTTTAACCCATGTCTAGTGATAGGTCCATGGATCTATACGTTATGACAAATAATACTAGACTATCATATAGTAATAACATAGTTATAATGTGTCATAATTAAAATAAAAAAATAAAAAATATTATTATTTGGGACGGATTCAGGATTTATGTTTGGTGGGGGCAACTAATATAGATAATATTAAATATATAAATATATAATTATAAATTAACTTAAATGAATAAAAACTTATTTTGTTTATATACAAAGATAACACATTATAATTATTTTTTATGCTTTCTTAGTGTGAAAATAAACTTTTTAAACGCTATCTCTTTTATTGAGATTATAGTTTAAAATATTTTTTAATAATTTTGAATTCGATAAAAATTATCTAGATCTAATTAAATATGAACTTATTTTGTAAATTGTTGTGTGTCAATATTATATATTTTGGATGATTCTTTCAAAATTGATTTTCTCTTAATAAAATATTTTTTTACAACTAATTAAATTAGATAATTTAGTTTATATAATTTCTAAGAAATAAGAAGAAAATGTTGTAGTTTATATTAGATATTGAAATGTTATTATGTAAACAAAATCAACTTGTACATTTTATCATGTATTTTGAATTTTAATTAAATAACAAAATTTTATAAATAAAAAATAATTTCATAAAAATTAAATTATTTCATTGATCAATCTAAGAAAGTATAATATTCTTCGATCTTAATGCATTTATAATACAAATATAAATATAAATATAAATAAATTAAACCCTAAATTAAACTATTTTACCAATATAAAAAAATTTAAATATTAAACAAATATTCTATCATATAAACAAATGATAAGAAATACAAAGAACATCCAAAATATGTAATTACTTAAATATATTGATGGAAGGAAAAAATGTTCATTCCTTAATTTGTTTATTTGGTTTATTGGCTTTTTCTTATCTTTTTATTATTTCTCTACTTCTGTTCTCTATCTACTGTAATTTTTTTTATTTGATCAAAGAAAAAAAATTATAGGTGAAGTAAAAAGATCATTTTTTATGTGATTTTTATTGTTTTTTAAATGAAATGATGGTCTTGAATTAAAAATTATTTATAAATGTTTATTTTATTTATATTTATACATGTGACTTATTATTTTTGTAAAATAAATCATTTATATTACAATTATAGTTTTTTTTTCAAATATTTATAAAAATATCATATATATATTTTATATTATTTTCATATTTACTAGGAACAAATTATAAAAGAATTAAATATTTTTAAGGATTATCATAATAATTTTTAAAGAATTGTAGGATTAGCTGCCCCCACTGCCCTATTATCCCCATTATAGATCCATCCCTGATTATTATTATTATTATTATTATTTGTTTCTCTCCTCAATTTCCTTTATCCTCTGGTACTTTGATTGGATCCAACCATTATAAAATTTGGTTTGGCCACTTGAGACTAGGTTCGACATCAAAATAGCCAAAGGGCCTCTGAAAATGATGAAATGGCTTGAATAAGTCAAGATCCGAATTCGGTCTAGGATCTCTAAATATAATCATATAATGGCTAGATTCAACTGAAGGTGAATGGGGGTAGAAGAAGAGAGAGACTTAAAAAAGAAAGGAATAAAAGGAAGAAAAAGAAAAAAATTAATTTTATTTTTTATTTTTGGAAAATTATTTTTTAAAATATATATTTATTTTTTTTTTTTAAATAATAAAATTTTAAAAATTGTGAAAAGAGTAAAAATTTTACAAAAAAATATATGTTTTTTAATTATGATTTAGTATTTATAAAAAAAATTGTTATATATTTTTTAAAAATAAATTTTATTTTTTTTATAAAAAAGAAAATAAAAAATAAAAGTTTTTGGAAATTTTTTAAAAAAATTTGAGAATTTCTCAAAAAATTTTGATTTTTTTGTTAATTTTAAATATGACATACGACAATGATAATCACGTGTCATCCATGTGTATAATTTTAAACATGAGTAAAATTTTTATTGATTGATTACCATACGTTTATTTTTTTTTAATTATGTTAAGGGTTGGGATAACTTAATAGATGGATTGCAATTTTAAATACTTGATTAGACATTTTTTTAGTTCACATAGCTATAGACATATTTTAATAAAATTCAGGAACTATACAAAATATTTATCCCTGCTAACTACAATTGTTTTGTTCATTTGTATTTCTAGCTGATCATGTGCAAGTGCAAGCAAGAATATGAGATAACCATTGTGATCATGGTTGCCAAAAAAGAAAAAAATTAAATAAACGATGTCAGAATTGGTAATTAAACAACTATATACTTATTAGTCAATATTTACAATAGTAATTATAGGATGAGTTAAGCAATTAGCTGGATTACATTGCGAAGTTAGAATCACATATAATATATTCTTATTCTGGATAAACTTGATTACCGGTTGTTTCTTAAGATAAAAAGTGACTCCAAGACTTTATCTGGACGTTTTATGAAATTTTGGTCTCTGATCAACTCACTGTGAGAAAAATGAAAAATGAATTAATCCACACTGATTATAGTGTAAAACCTCGCTTTTAGCCAGATAAATTACTTATCCTGGTGAAAGGCTCCGAATCTTTTATCTCACTTGTATCATATAGCAAGTCATTCCTGCTTATTTTGGACAATTGAAATCTCAATCATCCGGAATAAAAGTGTCCAACTTTAATTACCAAAGTCAAAAACAATAACAGGTCAATACATTCGGAAATTTCATTACATCTACTATCTTATCCATTAATTTTATGTTCTCTTAACATAAGATCAATGAGATTCTCACCGCCCACATTAATTTCATATTGATATGCTGTATGGAACTCCCTTTCCTGTAACACCGGGCTCAGAAAATGGCTTCAGAAGCTCATATGGTATAATCCCAGTTCCACTTCTGTTTTTGAGACTGCTGTTTCTATTTCTTTCATCAATGATCCCTTCAATCTCCTTCAATCTCCCATTAAGTTTTTCAAATGCTGCTTTTATGATTGGATCTTCACCCCATGATGGCTCCATTTCTTCTCCCAAGTACTCCTCATCCGGTGAATGATTCGACAGCACATCCAAAACAGCCATCACTTTTGTCGCTTGCATTCGAGAAGGGAAGCATTGAAGAAGCACAGCTTCTGGATTTTTCAAAAAGGATTTCCATTCTTTATCGGAGGAGTCCTCAGTGGGCATCTGGGTTCTAGCAATGGTAGGCTTATTAGGAAAGTATCCTGCATACGCATATTGTCCAAAGTTCACTGCTGCATGATGACCTGAAGCAACCCAAATTATAGTTGTTATGATATCAATTAGGTCTTGTGGGATTTTGAGAGTAGGCCACCATGGTTCATCCTTTTTGTCACCATGACCAACTGTACGAATTTCTGTCCACCATTCTTGAAGCTCTTCATCTGACTCCACAAGACTTGCATTTGGATAGTAATGATTGACATACTTAGAAACCCATTGTTTGAGGGCATCCCATATAAGTAGACCATCATTTGCAAAAGGGTAGTCGTTGATGGTTAGTCTTAGACCATGAGGAGCATTTGGATCCTCTTCGGCCATCCCTCTAGCATCAACAAAGTGAATAAAAGATAAATGAACATTTGGGAAGAATTTTTAGGCATTTGGGTACCTAAATTTGCAACTAGATTACCTGCTAATTAAATCTGCAGGCAGAGCTTGATGATCAAATCTCCATTCCAAGTCATAGGCAACAGCACAAAGCTCCATTGAGTACTTGCCAGGCGAGAATGAGTTTTCGATGATCCCATCAGCATTGATCAGTGATTCTCGAGCTAATGCGTTGATCTCAATTGTGTACCGGAAATGAGGATGTAACAGCCTATATATTGGGTGCATCACGCTGAGTTGCCGGTTGGTTGCAATAATATAAGGCTCAGTGACACAATGAGTCCTCAACCTGCAAACACATCAAAGGGCTCCCAAGTCAGTGCCATGAAAAGAGTCCCCGTGCAAAAAGAAGAAGAAAAAAAAAAGTAATATACTTACCAATGACTAACAAGTTGATGATAGCCTGCATCATGAGCAAGTACATGAGCTTTGGCAAGCCGCCAGAGCCAACAGGCCGTGGAATCCCAAGAAGGTGCATACACTTCTTTCCACTGTGGTTTTCCATCCATTGGTGGCCGTATCAACTCGATGGCTAGTGGCCTCAATGTGTTATTAGAGTTTAAGAAAAATAGTGTTCTTGATCCATAAAATGTTGTGCCTTTAAGCTCTCTGACTTTCTTGACATAGGGTAAATATATGTCATGGTAATCTAGAATGAACAATTTTTTCTGTTTTATAGCCTGCACAAAACCAAAAGTGAAAATTGATACACAAATTAATTCATGAGATATGATTGTCTAATAATGAACCTTGTGCATGGCACCTGCTCGACGATCATGACACCTCCAATTTCTTGCTCAATCATTTCTGTGGTGATTGCTGACTGTGCTGGACCGTAGATCTTAGGATCCAGTTTGCTCTTCAATGGCCATTCCTGCAAGAATTTATGCATTTCTTAAAAATTGAAAGGAAGAGCAAACTGCAAGAATTTTGTATTCAAGTCCTGTTCTAATCAGTTGCATTATAGAGCAAATGTTAGGTGATATTCTTGTGCAAGATATGCTTTAATTGACGAGTATGTTTGTATGAAGGAAGCGTGTTACATATAGTGTCTGCATCTCATACCGTAACTAGCCGAATGCTAAGTGGATTTAGACCAGCAAGTGCTTGCCGGGCAAACTCCTCATCCCTAAACCAAAAGAATTTGTCTCCTGGAAAGACAAAAACAACAAATATATAACCACGTGTACTCATTTTTTTTAGTTAGGAGAATACACCAACCATCTATCCAAATGCTCATGTGTACGTTTCTTAGCACATGTTTTATATGTAGCAACAAGCCTAAATTTTAGATCATACCCGCTTTGACTAATTGAACTACGTTTCGCAGATATAAATGTGTATTTGTGCATATGCGAGTGCAAATCATTGAAAGACTGAAAGTGCTCACTAGTCATGGTATCAGGGGCCTGAAACCGCAGGACATCTGCACTTCCCTCAGTGATGGCCTTGAAAAGCCTAGGGAGGACAGTGTTCCAAATTCCTTGTTCCTTGAGGGGAGGCAAGTTAAGTCCTTCGCTGAAAAGTGAGTCCACGGCGGCGATGTGCGGAAATCCCATATTATGGTCGACAATTGTGTTCTCAACAGTGGGTATCAAGCAATGCATCAATGAGCATACAGTCTTTGCCGAAAATGTTAGCTGCTTTATCTCTGAGAAGCATTCATCTCTAGGCACGTAGAAGTGACCATTTCTTTTCTCCAATAATGGATCTGCAGTGACAAAGAGAATTCAAGTCCAACTCAGTCGGAATAATTTGATGATATATAATAGCTTACAGCTGAATGTTAAACCTTCAGATTTCAACAAAAGAAAAACAATAATAAAAACCATTTTCTTTTATTTTTTCATTCGTCCATTTTCATTATCTCACTTTTTCACCTTACAAGTAAAAAGTCTTAATATTTCACACCTAAATAGAGGGAAAAAAATATTATTTTGGACGCTCCACTAAAATTTATGATCGCCGTCCCTATTGTATGGTAAATTTAATGAGTGGTTAACAATTAACACTTCTAGTTTTATATTTATAATTTTATTTTGATCAATTTTAAATGTAATCGAGTATTATACTTAATATTTTACCTCCTCAAATGTTGCATATAACTTTTCAAGTAATACATGTTAACACTTGATAACTTATTATTATGCCAAATAGCTTCTTTATTTCTTTCTTTCTTTTTTAGTCAAAATAAAAATTTTCATATTGATGAAAATATAATTAAAAAAAATTCAATTGCTATTACATTGTTCTAGCATTCATAAAAACTTTCTTTCATTTCGTACAATATCCTTTTACGTATTTTTATGCTCATAACTTTTAGTTCTACAAACAAATATCAAATTTACCACTCTATTTGAGAGCTCTAGATTCATTTTACTTTTTTTTTTTTTTTTGTACAATGTTGCCATTCTATCTTAATATTTTGTACAATTATACCATCATTTGGATAACAAAAATATTTTGTTAAGAATTTAATTTTTCTAAAATTTTTTATTATGAAAAAATGTAAAAAGTTTATGTTATTTCAAATTCCAATTAAAGATAATTCCAAAAATGACATCGAAATAGAAATCATTGGATTCTTTTCTAAAACAAAACACTGTACCAATAAATTTTTATATACATTTTATATTTGTGAAAAATTTATAAATGATTTTATACTTTAACATTATAATTTATAATCGTTAAAAAACTATTTAATAGGAAAAATATAAAAAAAAATTCAACATGCACATTTCGAGGGTTAAATGGTTGCATCAAGAATAAAATAGAGCGAAGCAATACAAAATAATAATAATAATTGTATACACCCTATTCGAACCCAATCAATTGAGCGCAATTCAATTGGGCCAAATTAGTCGAGTGCAAAAAAATTCAAGCCCAATTATCTAAAATATTTTATATTTTATATTTTACATTTTTTAGGTTTTTATGTTTTCTATTTTATGATTTTTATCTTTATTTTTATCCACTTATATATAACTTATTTGATTATTTATCTATTTATTTATTTTTTATTAGTTTTTTTCTTTATCTAATTTTTTCTATTTATTTATCTCTAATTGTTTATTTATTTATTTAACTTGAAATATTTCATTTTATCTGATTAGGTTAAAAAAATTAAAAAAATAATAAAAAAAAGAAAAAAAAGAAAAGATAATTAAAAAATTAAAACTATTGGCCGGTCATGAGTTTGGGTTGAAGTGATAATTCATGGAGGGTTTTCCTTGAAGATAAAATTCAAAGTTTTTTGAAAAATCCAAAATTAATTGAAATATTGATCAAGTTTGGATTATCCCTTATAAAAACCCTATAATTAACATAACAAATGAGAATCAATATTAACTTGATAATTTGAAATATGACACGATGACACAATACGAATAAAAAATACGAAGATAACACGACTTAAAATTTTAAAAAAATTATAAATAAGTTTAATAAAATAAAAAAAATTATATTTTATGTTTTCATGTCGATATGAATTATGACATATGATTTTCATGTAAAACATGATACGAATATAATATTTTATATGAGATGGTGACATGAACTGCTTGGTCTAATCAATAGTAAACATAATAATCAAGAGTGAACATAGAGCACATAGAGCAATCAAAGTTGTATAGAAAAAAAAAAGAGATTTGAAAAAAAGCAATAAAGTCTTTTTGGTAGAAAGGGGTTTAAGAAATTATTTTTTGAACTTAGATTTGAAAGGGTTAGGTTTAATTTGATTTCAAAATTAGAAAGATTCAAGGAGTTTGATTAGTATTTTTGGAGGGTTTTTTTGGGAAATTTTGAAGAATTTTTTTTTTTCTGAAAATTTCGATTTTCTGGCAAGTTTTTGCAATTTTTGGCTAACTTTTTGCAATTTTCGACCAACTTTTGATAGTTTCCCCAAGTATTGACTTGTTTTCTCCAAAAAATGGTGAACATTCATTGGCATTTTTCAAAACTAAAAAAGAGAAGAAAGTTTTTTTTTTTAGGAGGGGTGAAAGGTAGAGATAGAGTGAAGAGCTGAAAATTGGAAAAAAAAAAAAAGAACAAGGAAAATTTAGCTTTTAATCAAAGTGAAACCACGACGTTTTGAACATAATAATTCTTCAGGATCCACTCATTGACCCGAAAAAATCAGCATGTCAACATGACCCGCAACACACAACCCGTTTCCATTTTCCTCTGTCCCAACCAAGCCTAACCAATACTCAAGCCGTACCTTGAACCATTCCAACTGGTTTCTGTGCCTACAGCCAAGCAACAATCCAACTAGTCAAGCCAACTTTTTTTTGGTATTTTCTTTTCATTTTATTTATTTATTGTTTTGTTTATTTATTTATTTATTTTTAAAATATTCTTGAATGATTAAATTTTTTGGAAAAACTAGAAGAAATAATTCTAAAATAAAATATAAAATAAAACTTTAATAAAATTTTAAGAGTGAATAATAATTATCCAATGATGAGACTCTTAAAAATTTCAAATGTTAAATTTTTTAAAAAAATTTTAGGTGAGGAATTTATCTAAATTTTAATAAAATAGTAGAATAATTTAGATGAAATTTCAATAAAAGTAATTGTATTCTTTTCCAAATAAAAATTAAAAATAACTTAAAAATTGGTGTGAAAATATTTGACAATTATCCAAGTTAGAAATCTTAAGAAAAATCACAAATGGCTAAACTTATAAGAGATTTATAGCTAAAATGTTTTTTTTTTTTTTAAATTCAACCAAAATAGTAGAAGGATTTAGATAAGATTTTAAAAAATAATTGTCATATTATTTTCTTTTTTAAAGGATAAATGATGAATAAATGGAAACTAAATTTTAGGAAAGATATTTCTAAATTTGGTTCAAAAGGTGAAAAATTTAAAAATGAAACTTATAAGATATTTCTAAATTAGATCCAAATAGTGAAAATTTAGAAATAAAACTTATAAAATAAACAATAAATTCTGAAGATGAAATTCTTAGTAATCGTTAATTGATGATTATTTAAGAGATTTGTAAGTGAGAAAATATTTCTAATTTTGGCCTAAATGGTGAACAAATTATATATATTTTCAATAAAACAAATATTTAACAATAAAAATCGATTAAATCTTTTTTCGACGATGGAACCTCTTTAAGAAAACAAATAAGATTTTTAAATATTTTTTGGGTGAAACTATTTTTAAAGATTTTACCAGATTAATGGAGAAATCTTAAAAGTTATTTTTAATATTTAAACATTAAAATAAAGACCCTTAGAACCAAGATGATTGTTAGGATAATTTAAAATTAAATGATAGGTGTAGAGGTGTTATAACCTTCACTACATATAGTCGAACTCCTGAATTTAGTTCTAAAATGCAAACAAAAACTTATTCTTTTAAAGATCCTTAATTAAGCTTAGAGCATTTTTAAGATGATAGATTGACTTAGGTAATCAATCACATCTTAATAAAAGATTAGTGACGACTTTTCAAATTGTATCTAGTTTTAGGCTTACAGATTTATACGTTATAACAACAACAACAAAAATAATAATAATAAATTTAGAATTCTCAATTAACATGGTGATAAATTTGAGTAAGATTCATTGTCTTTTTTTAAAGGTTGTATAATATTTATTCCTTTTTCTGAATTACAATTAGGTTGATTAGTTTGATTACATTATTAACAATTAAGTATAAAATTTGTTTCATGGAGATTTAGAATTCTTCTTATTAGACTTTTTATCGAAAAGGTTTTTATTTTTTATTTTTTAAATATTATGGACCCAAAATAAAGTAAGTGCCTGCGCATGCAAACAACATAAACAAACAGAAAAGAAAGGTGCCAAAAGAACCAGCCAACAAATCTATCAAAATTCAGAGCAAATTCAGATTCAATACAAAGTCTAAGAGTTGGGAAAGCCGTGGCCCTGTAACACCAAACTAAATAAAAAGGGCAATTACCAAAAGGTGTTTTCGTATGTTTGCGTTCTAAAAATCCTCAGACAGACATGAATGATCAGGCATTTCTATCTGCTTTGTTTAAATTATTTTATTTAGTTTTAAGAAAATCTATTCAAAATATGAATATAAATATTATTTCTTCAAATTTTAAATTAAAAAAAAAACTATCTATTGCATTTCTGGATCATATATTGTTAAATCTTTTGAAGTTAGGCATGTATGTGCGATATATATATATATATATATACCTGATTCACATGGTGGCCTCCCAGTTCTACAGCGTCTAGGGTAAGGGAAAACTTTACCACCCAATACGGGTCTTCTAAGGTGGGGATTGTGATCAGGGTCGCCAAGATCATTGTAAACGTCATAATCATATATCCTTTCGAAACGTTTGCGCTCTCCCTTGCCATTTCCTCGCAAACTCCGGAGTTCCTCCTCTCTTAGCCTCTTCAATCCCTTTGGTGTCTCCGATGGCAAATACGACTGCTCCACCCATAACCACACATTATTATTATTATTATTCCATTTAATTGTAACAACAAATATATATATATAGCTGTATATCATCCCCCTTTGACTGTGTTTCTATTCATTTTCAGATGACTCAACATGATTAATATACCACATTTCAATTTTGACTTCCCTTGTCAAGCTTTTTGTTTTCTGGATAATTCTCAATCTATTTATGCAAAACTTATCTTTCCTCAAGTTATTTTATAATCACTAAAATAATAAAAATACTTTCATAATTTTAACAAGTGATGTGTTCCGTCTTTGACAAAAAAAAAAAAATCAATAAACCATATGTAATTAATTGGACGTATCTAACATAAAAGTAAATCAAACTCATAAATTATTAGAATTAATTTATTCTGAGATTTTTTTAAAAAAATTTGAAGCTATACCTTGATTAATCATGAAAACCATAATTACATCACTATATCTTTTTTAAATCACATAATTTATATTAAATTTAAAATCCACCAAAAGTAACATAATGGAATATATATATTTTTCAAACAATTCCTTCCTCTATGTTTTATAAGCATAAAGGCATATAACTATTCCATTTTCCCTTGTTTTAATTTTTTAACATAAAATAAGACCTAAAAATGACAAAATAAACAGTAGTCCATGGTGCGACGTGACCCAACCCATCATGGACGGTGTTGACACGACCCATTTTCATGCTTGGCACAATCATAGCGCTAGACTAGGTCAAGGTTTTTCGGCTCATGTCCTAACACGGCATGACCCATGATGGGTCACGAAATAATACATGGCATGTTCATACGGTACAACTCATATTTTTCCTTTTCTTTTGTTTTAATTTGATCTCCACTCATCACAGTTTTTATTTTTTATTTTTTAAATTGACTAACGAGTAAAAGTAATTGTTCCATTTTTTTTTTTTGTATGATAGACTCATTGATACTTTTTAGTTAAAGAGTTCTTGGCCAGCACTAGCAACACTTGAAATGTGTATTCTTTTCAAAATTGATTGAAGGCCAATGTTACTCACAAGAAGAACATATATTTTTGGAAGGAAATAATGACCCATGATAAATGTCAACTCTTATTTGTACTTGAAAAATTTATCTTGTTTTGGACTAATTAGTGTTTGTAAAATTTATTTATTTATAGTAAAATAAATTTCCCTTTTCTCATGATCGTATACATTTTAAGTCAAACCTCGTAAATCATGTGTTTAATTTTTTTTTTTTCATTTTTACTCTTTATTCATACTTATGACACTAAAATAATAAATACCATAAGAAAAAAACTAACAATTAAAGAAAAAAATTATATATGAAAAAAAAAAATTTTGGGTTGATAAGCCCATTCTATTACCTGCCTGATCGAGACAGACAACCCATAATATTATTGGGTGACGAGACATGCTGGACTTAATGTTTAGGAGGACTCATGTCATAAGCAAGCTGAGTGTACCAACCCATTAAGATCAGGCCCAATACTGGATCATAGTCATGCCACCAAGTCTACCCATGTTGCTACCTAGTTAGGCCTATGGTCTTGACATTCATTAGCCTTGGGAGTCCATTTGTAATACTAGACGTTGGACTACCCATCATCAAGGAGAAAGAAACTCGTACATCAGTTATCGCATAAATAAGCAACAATAAAGGGGCAGGAGCAGTACCCTTCCTAGCTCCCCTTCTAAAAAACCATGAGAAATTATCTTATGTTTTAACGCGTTTTTTTTTTTTTTTTTTTTTAATTTTGTTTCCTACATTTTAAAATCGCTTTTTTTTTTTTTCATTTTTAATAAGAATGACTAGCAGCCAATGCCTTGTATATATCAATGGTAAAAAGGAGGATTCAAAAACTTTTACGCTCAAGCTAGCTAGGTTCAAATACCAGTATATGTAAATTGAGTCCTACTTTATATTAGTTTTATTATTTTTTTTAAAGAAAGTATTATGTGATATGCATATATTAAGAAGTTATTTGATTGATACAACAATTTTTATTTGTAAATTTACTTTTTATAAAAGAAAAGAAAATTTTCTAATCATTATCCCAAATGTATGAGAAAATTATTTTAGGTGGGCTAATATCATTTGCATTAGGAATTTGACATGTTATTTTTCAAAAACATATTATTTTACAAATCGTTAAATGAACAATTGGATCTCAAAGGAGGCATCTTAGTGGTTAGCATTTGAGACGTTAACTAAAAAAATCTCGAGTTCAGATGAGAGTGGTGGAATTTATTAAAAGGAAATTGGGTTAATTTCCATTGTATCATAACCTAATAATTTTTACATTTTTTTTGGTTAAAATTTATACTAAAAATATCAGTGAATATTTTCATAAATTTCATTTAGAAGGTTAAGTTGAAAATATTACCACAACTGGAAAATGATAGTGTGTGTAAATTAATGATCCAAATAAAGAACTCGAAAATCCAGACCTTGTTGGCAAAAAAGACTCTCTTATGAGGATCCTCATACTTGGAGTGAACCCAGGAGCCGCAGTTCACCCTAACCGGGCCATTGGAGAAGCCATCAATCACTATTTCATCGATATACATCTCTGTGTGGTGATCATTCTCCACAAAAACTGCTCCAACCTCCCCAAATTCCTTTGGAACTTCAAACTCTGCTTCGTACTTTATATCCTCACCCTCCTGGCCCACCCGGTGCGCAAATGATTTCATCGTCTTCTTTTCCAATCCCGTCCCTAAACAAATTAAGTAATAAAATTTTTTTTAATATTTTATCAACAGTTTTTAGAAACAAAATTACCATGCCAAATTATGGTCGTAGACAAAGCTATAATATAAATATGTATATACACTTACTAGGGTCCAACTCCTTGCTGACAAGCTCCAATAGAATTGATTTACCGAGCAAATCTTGTAAATCATCTAGCCCTCGCTCGAGCCCAAGGTGAGTGATGAAGTCACTAACAGTTTCTTTAACATTGACAGTGGCCTTTACACGATCAGATTTCTGAGTAGCTGTTGCAATGGCTTTGATTTTGCTGCAGACAGAGCTAACTTGAACACCTTTGCTGATTTTGTTGAAGGTGGGGGAAGAGTTAGGAGGAGGCATGGACCGGCCACTGCCATGGTGAAATGGCTTATGAAGTGGGAGTAAAGTTTTGATGGAGTGACAGTAAATTTCTGGCTTCAACATTGTTTTGTTTTGCGGGAAATTTGCAAGCTCTGGTACTGAGCAGTTGATTTTATAGAACCGATGGAGAAAAAGAGATATGATTTGATTTGACTTATTGCCAGGTAATCACGTGGGAGTGGTCGGAATTAAAATGGTTACGGGTAAAAATCTGAAACATAATTAAAATATCATCCAAATTTTTATTTTTTATTATAATGAATAATTTTTTTAATATTTATTTACATTTAATTAAATTTTTATTCAAATAAAAAATAATGTCATTAATTTTTTATTAATTTAAATAAAATTTTATGTGATATCAATAAAAAAAATTAAAATTTATCACATAATTAATTAATATAAATAAAAATAAAATAAAATAAAATCTTTTTCTCTATTTTCTTTATTCCTTTTTTAATTCTTGTAAAAATTTAATTGATTGTAATTTAAAGATTAATTAATTAAATTTTATCATGGAACAAAATTTCATTCATTTAAAGGTTCAACTGAGTGAAAATAAAAAATAAAAAATTTAATTGATTGTAATAAATATTAAGGGTTTAGATGATTATTAAATTATAATTTAAAGGTATTTTTAATCTTTTAACCTAATTAAAATAGTTACTAATAATAATTTAAAATATAATTAAAATATCATCTAAATTTTTATTTTTTCATTATAATGAATAAAATTTTTTAATATTTATTTATATTTAATTAAATTTTTATTTAAATAAAAGCAATAACATTGTTAATTTTTTATTAATTTAAATAAAATTTCATGTGACATAAAAAAATAAAAATTTACCACATAATGTAATTAATATAAATGAAAATTAAATAAAATAATTTTTTTATTTTCTTTGTTTTTTTTTTTTTAAAGATTCATTGTAAGAATTCAGTTAATTGTAATTCGGAGATTGACTGGTTAAATTTTATCATATAACTAAATTTTATTCATTTAAGAGTTCAACTGAGTGAAAATAAAAAAATAAAAACTTGATTGATTGTAATAAAATTTTAATAGCTTAAATGATTATTAAATTATAATTCAAAGGAAAATTTGACTTTTTAGCCTAATTAAAAGGGACAAATGAAACAATACTTGTTTCTTAAAGGTTAAAGGGTTAAAAATATCTTTAAACTATAATTCAATAATCATTTTATCCCTTCACATTTTATTGTAATAAATTAAGCCACTAATATTCTATTTTGACTCAATTAAATTTTTATATGGATGAAATATAACAAAATGTTAAAATAAATTTTTGAACTATAATCAATTGAATTCTTAAAAAGAACTTAGAGAGAAAGAGAACAAAGAAAATAAAAAAAAACAGAAATATTATTGAATGCTATAAAATACAACTTTGAAAATGCATGTTGTACTTAAATTATTTATAATAATCACTTTCGTTTTAAAAGGGTCATTTGGTAATTTTCCGAAAGTAGTAATGAAATTGTGAAGTCTAAAATTGTATGCAAATTCTGAATTCAAAAGCATGAAAGAGCTCGAAACATTAAGGGTTTTTTCTCTAATTTAATCATTATTACATAAATAACAGATTATACACTAAAAAAGAGCCATTTTGCTTTCCTGGAAATAGAATGGGATGAAGACTTCTATTAATGCTAATACGTGGACACACAAACACTGACAAAGCAAAACTTGATGTGTTAGATTTACCTTCTTTAATAGCTGTTAACATTGTTAGTCTTATTTTATGTCTATGTTATAATTTAAAATTAAAGATTCAGTTGACTCATACTTGCTGAATTTTAGGCCAATATCAAGAAAGTAATATACATTTTAGAACAGTGAAAATGAAACATTGATTTTTATTTTTTTTTTAATTTATGCAAATATGTATAAATTTATACTTTCTATATTAAAGCCTTGGAATTGCAAGAGAAGATGCATTTTATATTATATTTATTGTTCTTTAATGTATTTGCTATAATATGTATTGTATAGTTTTATGAAGACACATAATTTTATTTGAATTGATCGAAATAAATCTTAATTATATTTGTATATCTGATTTAAATTTATTCGAATATTTTACTCATTTTTTTTGTTTAGTATAATTATCATATATATTATTATTATTTCATTCATTAGTTTATAAAAAACAAGAAAAAAAAAAGGAAGTAAAAAACTTTGAAAAAAATTTAATCAGCTGAATTGCTTGAATTTAGCTCTTGAATTTTTCTAATCTCCCACCCTGTCACTGTCTAACTTAGTAGCACAATTCAAGGGAGAAAAATCTTCTTTAAATCGCAGGAAATTTAGGATTTCCACCCATATTGGTTCTTTAAATTGAGCCTAAAAATGAGGAAAAGGGCAGCTTAGAGGCCATTTTGGGCACAAAAACACACTACCTAATCATCGATACATTCGGCTAAAAACAGCCACTGCCTAAACCTCCACAACTCCTTTTGCCACCATGACAACCCATTGCCTAAAACAAAGAAACACACAATCCATCAGAAAGCCATTCAAGCAAAAAGCTTAAACTTTACTGCCCTTCCCCCGTTTCCACCATAGCATCCAAAACCCACCATACAGTTGAACCAAATCAACCCCTACCTTACAACCCAGCTGATCACCCACTGTCAACCCAACCAACTTCCATTTCCACAATCACGATACACTACCACCATTATTCCAAAAAAAATAATAATAATAATACAACACTGCAAGCCAAAAAAAAAAGAAAAAATTCCCACCCGAAACCCATAACAATTAGACCTAAAAAAAAAAAAACATACACACACACACACACTCATCTTAAAAGAAGCAATAGCAACACAACAACAGGAAGGAAAAACCAGAAAAAAAGAAAAATAAAAAGGGGTTTTGACTGAAACCTTCAACCTCGATCTAGGCCATTTGAAATCATTTTTTTGCAAAACGAAGCCTAGATTGGAGTAGAAGAGGAAAATGTGAGCTGTTTGGTGTTTTTTGGAGAATCTTTTGGTCACCGACGTCGGTGGCTGGTCGCCGACGATGGTGGTCGATGGCCAGCGACTGAGGTGGCAGCGACACAACCGTGACGGCTGAAGTGGCCGGTTGTTTTCTAGGCAAGTGGAGATGATATTTTTTTCTTGGGGTTTTTTTTTTCTGAAATAAGATGAAATTAATTGAAAAAAAATGGTTTATATATAAAAAAAAAAAACAAAACAAAACGTTGCATTTTGTTTAGGACGATCCTCGCATAAACTCAGATCCGACTAGGATCTGAGGACCCAACTGGTGACCTGGTTTATCCCTTACTGATTGATAAGCTGAACCGATTAACCGAGCCATTTAGGGTTGACAGGGGTATTTTTGATATTTTGTTATAATTTTTATTTATTTTTTATTTTTTTTCAATTTTTTATACATTTCTATTATTTAATTTTTTAGTTTTTTGTTATTTTTGTATAAATTTTTTACAAAAAAAATAAAATAAGTGGTAGAAAGTATAAAATAGTTTTTATTGAAATTAAATTAAATTAATTGCAAAAAAATTAGGAAAATTTGAAATCTTAATTTTCTCTTAAATAATTTTAAAAAAATAATAAAATGAAATAATGAAAATTAAAATGTTAATGAACAAGAATAAAGAAAAATATAAAAAAATACTAAAAAACCAATAATAAATAAAATAATTAAATAATAATAAAGTCACAAGTTGTAATTTTATTAAAAATATTCACAAAGAAATTTTTTAAAATATTCTAAAATGTTAAAAATATTTTAAAAATTTTCAAGTATGAAAAAATAAATAACAATAAAAATAAAATATTATTAACAAAACTGAAATCATAAGTAGCGATTTTTTTCACAAAGAAAATTTTTAAAATATTTCAAAAGTGTTGAAAATATTTTAAAATTTTTTATTAAAATAATAATAACAATAATAATAATAATATTCACTACGAATAAATAAAAAAATTAAATAAATACATAAAGAAAAGAATAATAAATATAGTAATAAAATCACAAGTGGTGATTCTTAAAAAGGTATTTTTCAAAATTTTGTCAAAAGTGTTAGTAAGATTTTTGAAAATCTTTTCAATAAAAATTAATAAAATATAAATACTTAAATTATCAAAGTAAATAAAATTTTACAAGAATAAAAATCATGGGTGGTGACTTTATTAAAATTTCTTAGGTAAATAGTCTGTAATGTTGGAAATATTTTGAGAATTTAACAAATAAAAATTTTTTATACCTTAATAGTAATTTTACAATAAATAAACATTACATAGTAAATTAAAATTTTGGTTAATTAAGAGAGAATCACAAGTGATGATTTTTCTTTAAATTTTTAAAAGCATACCATAAGTGTCGATATAAAAAAATTATAATCTACTTTCAAAATATTAAAATAATTTTGATGATGGAGTTTATTCAAGAAAATAAATGATTTTTTTAAAAACTCTTGAGGTGAAGATATTTTTTAAGTTATACCGAAAGTGTTAAAATAACTTAAAAAATTAGCAATAATAAAAATATAATAAATAAAATTAAATATTAAGTAAAAGACTATTCAACAAGACTATTTTTAGGATCTTATAAGATTAATTGGTACCGTTTTTGGACGACCATTGTAGGAGTGCCATAACTTTTCTTACATGTAATCGTACTCCCGAATTCAATATCAAATTCATAGACTAAAAGATAAGATTGATGGCCAATTACACTTTTAAAAAAAGATTAGTGACGACTCTTTGACTTTCATTTCTAAGAGTCATGTCTTTGAACCAATAGGTTATGACAGTTTGGCAATTCTATTAGGGACCTAAGAGTGTCAAACCAAAAATTAATTATATATAATCCTAAAGTCTTGGTTGAATAGTCTAATTCATTTATGGATTTATTTGCCTGATTATTTTCTTATTTGTTTATTTGTTTGAAATGTGTTCAAAAATCTATTTCTTCACATGTTGCATGTGTATATCATAACATGTACTCTAGACCCGGGCTCTATCATTCTTAAGAGGGGGTAAAGTACCTATACTCTCATGAAGTG